TAGTAGGTCATAGCATCCACGGGAATGTCCTTCAATCAAATCTTTAATAAACTCTGCTCCAATTAAAATTGAGCGGTGCACTCTTTCTTTTGGTCCAATACCTAAATATTTTACAATAATGCTAACTAAAAGCACACATTTTGCAAGAAACATCATGAATTTGTCTTCATTTGCCATCCTATATGACATGAAAAAATTAAAATTTACAACTGTAATATCATAAGAGAAAACATAATGCTTTCAAAAACAAATAAGATAAGTTTAAGTCCATGGAGCTCATTGTAGCAAATAATAAAAAGAACAAAATAGGAAGACGCTATATAAAGCATTGATGGTCCATTGATGGATTAAAATCCATGATTTTCACATAATATATAAAGCATAAGCTAAAGTAGAAAGTGCTCATGTCTGCAACTAACAGTTAACATAATCCAAAAGAAAATAAGATACTAATTTATAACTTCATCCAAACAACAAAAACACAACACTAACAACATCAATCATATAATCCAAGTTTGTGCATGACCCAATTCTTTCTAAGCGGAGGAGCCATAGCAGCAAAGAATACAACATTTCTCTCATTTGTAAGGATAACAATAACTCGTATATTCCATGCGTCGTCCAATTCTAGTTCCATTATCAAAGGCATTAATTTCTCCGCAGAAGTATTTTTTGGTTCATGTTGTAGCCTTATTTGTTCTTCAGCTATCGCTGTCCATCTATCAACAGATTTTGCCAAACTAATTCCAATAGAGTTCCTAATTCTTTTTGGACGAGATGCCAAAGTTTGTTCCTCAGCTAAACGTCCTTTTCCTGCTCTCTTATCTTGACCAGTTGATTGAGTTGTTTCAGTACCCGTAAAGCTTATGTTTTGATCAAGATATACATGGTCAATAGACTGTGTATCTTCAGAAGCAAGTGTAGTGATTTTTTCGCCAGTTATCTCCTCATCAAAAAATTCATTTTGAAAATCCTCTGTATCATTAATTTCACATCCATTCCTACCATCAGCGACATTGTCTCCAAAAATCGAAGCCAAAGTATTATAGTCTGGCAACTGCCTCATCTCATATTTAGCATCTTTTGGGTGAGCCCATAACATAACCAATGTTCTTAATTAGAGAAACAATTAACTTGTATTCAAACTTTAGCTATAAAAGGAAAAAAGAATAGTATGACTCACTGCAAGGTACTGCTCCCAAACATCATCTTCGGCATCAACTTTTCCAGTTTCTTCATTCCACCCAAATCCTATTTTTTATTTTCGTCTTATCTAATTTGTCCCCATATAACTTATTCATTTCTCTTTTTACACCATCGCATCCCTCGGTTGTTAAGCCACCTTGTTGCATTCTTCCTAACTTAACTTGTTCAGCAATAAAATAAATGAAATGTTCATCTTGAACTTCACTCCATTTGGTGTATGATTTTCCAACCTTAGGTGTTTGGTTAGTTTACATCCTACGTAATTATAATTATATGGTTCTGCAATATGTTTGTGAGATTCATATATGCATAATCAAGTCAGGCAAGAGGTAAAGGATATACATGGCAGAATATGAACAAAGCATAGTGATTATAATTGCACAAAAAAATTATAATTGATTATCCAAGAGCTGACGAGCAACTCACTTTAAAGTAAATATTCTAATATATTAAGGTTCTCCATTTCTATTTTAATGGCATAAATTAGGGATAACTTAATGGCATAAATCGGAAAAACACAAAGATTTCTTTTCACACACAAATAGTGCCATTTTTTTTATACAAATATATATTTCTCCTTCCAATATAATACACTACACAATATGGAAACTGAATATGACAAGAAATGGTATTTGTATGCATTAGTTGTGAAGTAGAAATGATATGCTTAAATTTAAAATTATTTTTCTACCCAAATTTCACCCTTCTAAAATTGAAAGGTAAAGATTCCAACACTATAACTCAAGGCAACGTGAAGTTATGGAAATAAAATAGTTCAATATGAATCAACTATTTAGAAAATATGAAATACAAAAGGGGAAAGAAAAGGTTACCTGGAGCAGAGACGGTGCTGGAACTGAAGAAGTCAAGTAGAGATGTTTTGATTTTTCTATCGTCTTTGTTTCCAATGAAAGAATAATATAATATTGAAAGAGAAAAAAAAAAGGAATTGGAAAGGTTGCCTTGTAATTATACCCAATTCTTTACCCCCTCCTCTCCCCCCATAAGAATTGGAGGGTGTAATTACTCTCTCCCAATTACACCCAATTCCTCACCAACTAAGTAATTACTTGGTGAAACAAACATGCCAAAGTGTGTAATCACACCCAATTACGCCCAATTCAAATTCCCATGTGGCTTTCCAAATAGGCTCTTAATGAAAATCTAACGCAATATACTTTTAGAATTATTATATAAATATTACGTAAAAGTTATAACAATTGATACAGTATTTTTATTCAGATTTTACTTATATAATTGTGTTAAGTTTTGAAGTTTAATAATGTTCAATAATCCTAAAGAGGCTTTGACTAATGATATATTTCTTGTATGCATATTCTGGTGAGCAACAGTTGTATAGGTCAAAATTTGCCTCAAAGGGATTTAGCATAAATGGGTATTATGGGTATCGATGTGGCCGAGGTCGAGTAGTAAACAGTAAGGCTCGTAGCCGGACGGTCAATAACGACCGAGGTCAAGTATCAAGGACAGTTTTAACGGCTAGTTTTTGTAAATAAGATAATATTTTCTGTACTTGTACTTTTAGGGTTGACTAAGGATATATCCCATATAAATAGAAAAAGCGATAAGGGGAAAGGGCATGTATTATTCATTCTGATAAGAACACTTTTGAGAAGAAGACTCTCTCCCTAGAAAAGATGCAAATATTGTCTTTTTAATAAGATTCTACTATCCATTATTCAATACTTTTTCATCAGATCAGAGAATAGTTCCAATATTTTAGGATTTGTCTGTCATTCATCACTGTCAAAAAGAAAAATCATCCACCTCATTCAATATTGGGTGAATCATTCTCTTTATTTATATTAATGCCATTTATTATTATTTATTAATTGATATTCTTCTATCATTACTAAAAGCGCTTGGAATGTTAAATGCATACTGCATTTAATCTCCTACCAATACTACTTTAAGTTATTTGTGTTAACTAGTTATTAATCTAGGGATATTATCATTAACTAGGTTTAACCCCTCATTATATAAAAATAATTAGTTTAACCCAAGATTTACACTTTTTGGTCAGATAATTTGGCGCAGTATGTGGGGATCTCCTAGTTAGATCTTTAGTCTCTTCTAGATCTATAACTAGCACGGTTTACAAAAAAAAACTCCTTTTTCCTTGTACACACGGATCTGACATGGCAGGTAATGAGAAAAAAGAATGAGGGTAGTGGCTGACCTCACCACCAACCTTTTGAACACCATCAATGAGGTTCCTGAGACAGAAGGCGAGGACATAACGCCCAACGCCTCCCCCAAGCGAGGCGGGTCGCCCATCCCTCACGAAAGTATCGCAACATCCCACGGTAAAAGGAGCTTCCACATCCACGGCGGAAGAGATGCCACCAGCTGTGAAAAAGCTCCTTGAGACTTGGCTAGCTAACACGTTAACCGGCATCCTCAACAAGCCCACTCAAGAGACAGTCAGAGAAAATGCAAGGACTTGCATTACGCCGACAATAGTCGAGCAGCATGGCCATTTCCCCCCAGTAACAGGTATTACTCACACCGTTGATAATGCAGGTGACGACACCCTCACAACCATTTTGAAAAAGTTGGAGGAAATGGAAAACGAGAACAAAGTGCTTCGAGACCAAATGAGAGAACACCAAGAAAGAGTCGACAAAATACCAGGTGCCCCGAAACTCTTGCCAAAAAGAGATGCTGGTCGGTTTGTCGAGCAACCATACAGTGACTAAGCCGCCCTGCACGCAATACCAAAGACCTTCAAAATGCCGCCCTACCTGAAAATATATGACACCACGATCGATCCCGAAGATCATGTGACTCACTATGTCACCACTGTAAAAGATAATGACCTCGCCAAGGAACAAGTGTCCTCTGTCTTGCTAAAAAAGTTCGGCGAGACCCTCACTGGAGGAGCATTAACTTGGTATTCACAACTGCCCGTGCATTCCGTCGAAACATTTGAAGAGATGGCCGATAAGTTCGTAACGACCCATGCTGGGGACAAAAAGGCAGAGGCAAGAGTGAACGATATATTCGCCATCAAACAGTCGCCCAGAGAGGGATTGAGGGACTTCCTCGCTCGATTCAACCGAGTAAGGATGACTTTACCAAATGATCGGAAGGAATGATAGTAGCAGCTTTCCAAAACGGGCTGAGCAGAAATGGTTCAAGGGCGACCATAAAGTTATTAAGTCGGCTTATGAAATACTCTCCAACCACTTGGGATAAGATACATAACGCCTATTGTGCCGAGGTCCGTGCAGACGTGGACGACCTAAATGGGCCAACCCATCGGTTGACCTCGGTACAGCCTAGTCCAGGAGGGGTTGAAGAAACAATGTCAGGAAAGATCTCGCAGCTCCACGACCTAACCGAGAACGGCAATAGTCGTACATCAGAAGCGCCATCATGTCCCCCTCACGCCGCGTAGAGGGTCTACCTAGACCAAGGACAGGGACTCATCAGAACGGGAGAGGTATGCCCTCTTTGTTATCCGCTCATAATTTTTGTGTGTCACCTTCAGAAATAGTCTACGCCTTGGAGAAGCTTGGACCAAAAGTAAAGTGACCACAAAAGATGAGGTCAGATCCAAGCACCAGAAAGTCAGACGCCCTCTACGAGTTCCACTAGGAGCAAGGTCACAAAACTGAGGACTACATTGACTTGAGGCAGGAGGTCGTGAACATGCTTCGCCAAGGACACCTCAAAGAATTGTTGAGCGATCGGGGAGGACCTACTTTGCCCGAGGACGTGAGCAGCACCAGGGACCGCCAAAACTACCCTCACCAATCCGCACCATTCAAATGATCACCGGGGGCGGCGATGACGCTTCAATAAATAGTGTAAAGTTTACCACAACTCACAAGCTCAAACGATCGATCACTCACGAACAGTATGACGAACTCGAAGAAAGTATCATCTTCGATAAGTCAAATACCCATGGTTTGGTTTTCCCTCATTATGATGCCCTGGTTATCACTTTACGCATATTAGATGCATATGTGAAACGCATTATGGTAGATGATGGGAGCGGCGCGTGCATTATCCACCCTCGAGTACTTGCACAAATGAAACTCGAGGATAGGATAGTGCTGCGGTGCATCACGCTAACAGGTTTCAACAATACAGCTGAACGAACGTCTGGAGAAATCACATTCCCCGTCTTGGCCGGCAGCGTCACCCTGGAAACCACATTCCGCATCATAGACCAGGATACGACGTACAACGCCATAATAGGCCGACCCTGGATACACTCCATGAAGGCCATCCCCTCCAGTTTATACCAGGTTATCAAATTTCCAACCCCATTGGGAATATTCAGCATACGAGGAGAACAACGCACATCTCGAGAATACTACAACATCGCCTTGGATTGTAAGACCACCCAACAAATGAAGGGCAAAGCAAAAGAGGCATAGCAATTAACAAGGCCGAGTCGAGTTGCAATGAAAAAGAAAACGTCATTAGAGATCCCGAAACATTAGAAGCCGCGGAATCAACCATAGAAGACCTCGACCCCGTCCAACTTGATGACAACGACCACAACAAGAAAGCCTGCATCGGTTTCAAGCTTCAAGAACCAGGTAAATTCCATCAATTCTTAACTGTTAACGCGGACTTATTTGCTTTTAGCCATGCAGATATGCAGGTATCCCAAAGGAGATCGCTACACACAAATTGAACGCCGACCCATTCAACTCCCTGGTGAGGTAGGTTAGGCGAAAGTTCAATTACTCAATAAATGATGCAGTGCGCGAGGAGGACAAAAAATTATTGGAGAATGGCTCCATCAGGGAGTCAAAATACCCTCAATGGGTCGCCAATGTGGTCATGGTGAAAAAGAAAACGGGAAGTGGCGAATGTGCGTAGACTTTACAGATCTAAATAAAGCATGCCCCAAACCAAAGTCTCATTCCCATGACCTCATATCGACCAGCTCATTGATGTAACGGCCAGGCATGAACTGCTAAGCTTCTTAGACGCTTACTCAGGCTACAATCAGATCCTCATGGAATAGGAGAACCAGGAGAAAACCACTTTCATCACCCATCAAGGAACGTACTGCTACAGAGTTATGCCTTTCGGATTGAAAAATGCAAGGGCGACGTACCAAAAGTTGGTGACCCCAAAATGTTCAAGGATCGACTCGGCAAGACTATGGAAGTCTACTTAGATAGTATGCTGGTTAAGTCCAAAAGGAGAGAAGATCACATCGGCCACTTGAAAGAAGCCTTCGATATACTCAGGCAATACGGAATGAAATTAAACCCCGAAAAGTGTGCATTCGGCGTGACCTCAGGAAAATTCTTAGGTTTCTTAGTATCACAGCGAGGCATAGAAGTCAACCCCGACCAGATCAAAGCTATAGAAGAAATACCATAGCACTTAACTACTAAAAATTAGGCTCAGAGGCTAACTGGCCGTGTCGCCACCATGTCAAGATTCATCTCGCGATCATCCGACAGATGCCACAGGTTTTTCGGTGTACTCAAAAAGGACAACAAACTCCAGTGGACCTTAGAGTGCGCCCAAGCCCTGAAGGAGTTAAAAGCTTACTTTTCATCACCTCCGTTGTTGTCCAAACCAGAACCTAGGGAGAGCCTCCTCATCTACCTTGCTGTATCCGAAGTAGCGGTGAGTGCGGTCCTGGCGCGAAAAAATAAAGGCATGCAATCTCCCATCTACTACATTAGCAAAACTTTAGTCGACGCCGAGACGAGGTACCCCCACCTCAAAAAGTTAGCCATGGTCTTGGTAGTAGCTTCACGAAAGCTTAGACCCTACTTTCAGTGCCACCTCGTCAGTCACAACCGTCCCCTTGAGAAGTATTTTGCATAAGCCCGAGCTAGCAGGCAGGTTAGCCAAATGAGCCATAGAATTAAGCGAGCATGATATCATATATCAATCGCGAACGGCGATAAAGTCACAAGTCCTCACCGACTTCGTCACTGACTTCAGTGCAAAAATAATGCCCGAAGTCGAAAAAGAAGCCGCCCACGCTTCTCCACAAATACAAGATCTATGGGTTTTGTACACTGATGACGCTTCTAACGCATCAGGGTCTGGACTGGAACTTGTACTCGAAGTCCCGACGGGCGAACTGATTCGCCAGTCCATAAGATGCCCAGACATGACTAACAATGAGGCTGAGTATGAGGCCGTGATTGCAGGACTAAGGCTAGCACTCAAGTACGGGGCGAGACGGGTTGTACTACGCTGCGACTCTCAACTCATCATCAACCAAGTCACAGGGACTTTCCAGATCAAAGAACAAAGGCTGCAAAATACCAGGCCGAGATCTACAAACTACTGCCCGAGTTTGACGAGTGTCAGCTCGACTAGATTCCTCGAGCACAAAACATCGAAGCAGACGGCCTCGCCAAATTAGCAGCAGCCACTAAAAACATAATCGGAGAAAGAAACGTGGTCACCCTCCTCCACTCATCGATAAATCAAATCGAGGTAAGGACCATAAATCTAACTTGGAACTGGCGCAACCGTATTGTTACATACTTGCAGGATGGCGTGCTCCTAGATGATAAAAAAGAAGCCAAGAATCTTCGGATACAAGCGGCCAGGTACAACATCATTCATAACGACCTATACAAGAGGACGTATGGGGGGGCCCTGGCGAAATGCTTAGGCCCAAATCAGACGCGGCGCGTCCTTGAAGAAGTCCACGAAGGCCACTGCGGAGCTCATTCTGGCAATTGAGCTCTGCTCAGATGTCTCATACGGGCAGGTTATTACTGGCCGTATATGAAAAAGAGGCCAAAAACTTCGTGAAAAAATGCGAGAAATGCCAACAATACGCCCCAATGATCCACCAAGTAGGCAAGCACCTCCACTCGGTCACTTCCCCTTGACCGTTAATCAAGTGGGGGATGGACATCGTCAGCCCCCTCCCTTCGGGACGAGGTAATGTACGATTTCTTTTAGTTTTAACTGACTATTTTTCTAAATGGGTAGAAGCAGGAGCATTAGCCCAGATACGCGAACAGGAAGTGATCGCCTTTATATGGAAAAACATTGTGTGTCGTTTCGACCTGCCTGAAGAGATCAGTTGCGACAATGGACCCCAATTTATAGGAAAAGAGGTCGCCGGATTTTTTGGGAAATGGCATATCAAGAGAATACTCTCAATACCGTATCACCCCGCGGGAAACGAGCAAGCGGAATCCTCCAATAAATCAATACTGAACATCATGAAGAAAAAGCTTGAGGACTCCAAAGGACTCTGGCCACAATTATTACCAGAAGTGCTTTGGTCCTACCAAACAACGCCAAAGACGAGCACAAGAGAGATGCCCTACTAATTAGTCTATGGTACTGGTGCTGTAATACCAGTCGAATTTGGAGAGCCTAGTTTGAGATATTCCCATGAGAGCAGGCTGAGGAACGATGAAAACAGAAGGCAAGAGCTTGACGAAGCTGAAGAACGGAGAGATATGGCCTAGATAAGGATGATCGCCCAAAAACAACAGGAAAAACACTATTATAACAACAAGGCCAAGATCAGACCACTCAAAGTCGGGGACTAAGTGCTCAAAGATAAAACACAAGCAAGCAAAGACCCGCGGGAAGGCAAATTGGGAACAGATTGGGATGGCCCATACAAAATCGCGGCAACAACAAACAAGGGGTCATTCCAACTAGAAACAATGGAAGGAAAACTACTACCAAACAACTGGAACGTCGCCCACCTCAAGTACTTCAACTTTTGAGGAAAAGTGTTCTCCACGTCGTACTCTTTTTTCCTCACTTGAGTTTTGTCCCAATTGGGTTTTCTCAAGAAGGTTTTTAACGAGGTGACAAGGGGGACACTTCAAGTTAAAGTACAGACGGAAGAAGGCACTAGACGATCAGTTCATTGCCCAACCTCTCAACACTTCTCCAGGTCGCCCAATGAAGGGACTAGGTAGACTGGGACTGGAATGCCAGCCCAGAAAATATGTAAATTTCTCCAAGTATATGAACAAAATGCAAGTGCTTGAAGTTTGCCCATATTTTCCGCCAGAGCAACACTGCCTTAATACCTAATCGGCCCCCGGCCATAACAAAACAAAAGTGACATTCGACCTCACTCGAATTAACTCACATTCGACCTTGTTCGAATTAACTAAGTGGCATTCAACCTCGCTCGATTTAACTCACATTTGACCTCGTTCGAATTAACTAAGTGACATTCGACCTCGCTCGAATTAACTCACATTCGACCTCGTTCGAATTAACTAAGTGACATTCGACCTTGCTCAAAATTAACTGACATTCGACCTCGTTCGAATTAACTAAGTGACATTCGACCTCGCTTGAATTAACTCACATTTGACCTCGTTCGAAGTAACTAAGTGACATTCGACCTTGCTCAAATTAACTCACATTCGACCTCGTTCGAAGTAACTAAGTGACATTTGACCTTGCTCGAATTAACTCACATTCGACCTCATTCGAATTAACTAAGTGATATTCGACCTCGCTCGAATTAACTCACATTCGACCTTGTTCGAAGTAACTAAGTGACGTTCGACCTCGCTCGAATTAACTCACATTCGACCTCGTTCGAAGTATCTAAGTGACATTCGACCTCGCTCGAATTATCTCACATTCGACCTCGTTCGAATTAACTGAGTGATATTCGACCTCGCTCGAATTAACTTATATTCGACCTCGCTCGAATTAACTTATATTCGACCTCGCTCGAATTAACTTATATTCGACCTTGTTCGAATTAACACCTACTGACCCCCAGCCATGACCAAAACTAAATTCTGTTTCGACCTCGTTCAACACACATAAACCAAGCTTCTGCGACTAAAGCGGCCAAACGGCAAAACAAAATAAAGAAGCATACAAGCCCGAACAGAAGGAAAAGAATCAGATACGAACAGCGAAAATGGCATTTCATACTTCAAATATATTCTTTACAAAGGCTAGAACAAACGCCCGCAAAAGTATGTACAAAATTTACAAACAAAAGAAAGAAAAATAACTACTCGCCACCTAACCCAGCAGCGCTATCTCCACCATCGTCGTCGCCATAGGGATACTCATCCTCGTACCTGTTCAATCCCATCCACATCTTCCTCGCCATCATCGGCCTCTAGTGTAGCGGGGTCATAGCCACAAGCGATCCGAGCTGTACGCGCCTTAGTGCGAGCATCCTCGAAGTCGGCCTAAGGAACTTTCCCCGCCGTCATCAAATCTCTCAATACATCGAGCTGGGCCTCGGCATGAGTCCACTTCTGATATAAATCCCGCGGAATATCAGGGGAAGCAGAAGTATGAGAAGAGGACGGCTGAGCCGATAATTGCACCTTCTCAGCCTCGAGGACCACGACTTGGTCACCAAGGCTCGAAACCTCTCTTTCCAGCTCCCCTATCCATTCATCGAGCCGCTCTTCTCTAAGTTTGGCCGTCT